GGCGCATCAGGACACCGACACCAACACACTCCTGGGTGAGAACGAGCCACACAGCACCAGTGGGCGGCAGGGGAAGGAGGTTGAGCTCCCCGAGATGTGGCCCACAGACTGCCCTCATCCCTCAGCCCGGTGCTCCTGCCTCGCTGGGCGGGGATGTCTCCGGCGGTACCAGACCGCCCCCCGCAAAGTGGTGGTTGCAGGGAGGCGTTTCTGCTCCGTCACTGACGCTTTCTTTCTTGAGCTGAGTAACGGGCATGTGGACATGTGTATGTGATTCTGTGTATTTTCTCGATAATATGAACCATTTTGTTAAGAAAATAAAGATGAGTAAGAATCTGGCCTGCATTAGAAACAGGATAAAAAAGCAGGTTTCTTATCCCACCAAGAAGGCAAAATGCAGGAGGAAAAAACATGGTGCCTCAAAAGCACAGTCATAGGGGCACCTGGGTGGCTCGGTCGGTTAAGCGTCCGACTTCGGCTCAGGTCACGATCTCACGGTCCTTGAGTTCAAGCCCCGCGTCGGGCTCTGTGCCGACAGCTCAGGGCCTGGAGCCTGTTTCAGATTCTGTGTCTCCCTCTCTCTCTGCCCCTCCCCTGTTCATGCTCTGTCTCTCTCTGTCTCAAAAATAAATAAACGTTTAAAAAAAAATTAAAAAAAAAAAAAAGCACAGTCATAGTCTGAAGAACACTCAAATGACTACCTCTAAAATGTTGAGTGTCTGGCCCTGAAACTTTCGCCAGGTTTATCTTTGCTTCTCAACCGGCATCAAAACCAACGTGAGGTTTAGAACCTGGGATAAGTCTGATCTTTGTCCACTTAACACTTCTTAGCGGTTGGCATCATGCGGTAGATGCAGTAAAAAACGCTCTGTGCACGAAGGCCCGTTGGCAGGACTTTCTGTAGGAGGTGTGGGTGTTCAAGTTTCCAGACACTCCAGCACGGAGCCCAGTTCTGACCGGGAGCTTGGTAGGGTGTAAATAGGAGAATTAACTGGATATGCAGAACTGCCTGGTCGATGGAAGCCCAGGGACAGCCCGGCCCTGCAGTGAGCTGTCCACACAGAACAGAGAGGAGGCAGGGAGGTAGGTGGGGGGCAGCGGGGGGGAGACAAGAGCAGCAGGAGGGCGAGTATGCCGTATGCGTCTGTCATAGGAAGCTTTCCGAGAAAGAGCTGTGCACAGGCCATCTGCACGTTCTGAGACGGCCACCGGAGAGGGACAATCAGAAACACACTGAGTGCGTCTGCACGCAAGGGGTACGAGGGAACCGTGGCTTCTCAGGGAAGCCTTCGGTGGGACTTAAATTTTTAAACAAATCAATACCCTAAGAAGTATAATAATACTATAAAAACAATAAATGTAACTACATTAAGTATCATTTGCACAGAAACAAGACCAGGCACAAGTGTGAAGAAAACGGCAAAGACAGGCCAAGCACATGCAAACAAGCGGAGCTAGGCTGGGGAGAGGCACGATGTTCAGACCAAGAGGAACATTTTATGTATTTATTTATTTATTTATTTATTTTTTTAAGTATCTTTATTTTGAGAAAGCACAAGTGGGGGGGGGGCGGAGTGAGGGAGAGAGAGAGAGGGAGAGGGAGAGAGGGAGAGGGAGAGAGGGAGAGAGAATCCCAAGCAGGCTCTGCACTATCAGTGCAGAGCCTGACGCTGGGCTCAAACTCATGAACCGTGAAGTCATGACCGGAGCTGAAATCAAGAGGCGGACGCTTAAGCAACTGAGCCACCCAGGTGCTCCCCAAGAGGAACATTTTTAAGTGAAAATGTTTTTCATCAATATTCCACAAGAAGACATAAAGTCAGAAACCCCTGTGTCCTGAATAACCTAACACCAGAGATAAAACCAAAAACCATCAGCAAATAACAAGAAAAGTCCTCCACGTGTATATTATGACAGAATCTAAAACCCCTAACGCTACGACAGGTCAGAGGAAGCAGAAACACTCAGGCGGTGGGTAGGCTAAGGCACACCGGTATTTGGGAGGCAGCGGAGAGACTTGGTGCTAACACCACAGGGGAATACCCACTCCTGTGCAATTGCACTAGAAAAGACCACACGGACGCAGGACGAGTGCAGCCAGCACACAAGCCGGCACCTGTCCCCCGGGGCGAGGGCATTCCCCTCGTGCACCGGGCGTGAAAATGGTGCCTGGAATCCAACCATGAAGAACCATGCGGCGTGAGACGCCAGCAGAGCCCTGTGGTTCCGGGGAACGAGGAGTGTGTGCAGAGGGGCCCCGGAGAGGGGCAGCAAGCTGTCCTGACTGGTTACCTTCGGGGGTGTCAGAGGAGACAATTCTGAATTGCCTCAGTTTTTTCTTTTATAAAAAGCATTTAATTCTACATTTAGAAAACACACGGACAGTACTTGAAAAGACAAAGCCTCTGCCGGTGTGACAGCTCCTGGTCAGAACGGACTCGGTGCTGGAGCGCTGGGAAAGCTGAACACCCACACCTCCTACAGAAAGGTCTGCAAACAGAGCATTTCCCCCTGGGTTTACCACTAAGAACTATTAAATTAACAAAGACCAAACTGATCCCAGAACCTAAACCTCGTGTTGGTTTTGCTTGCTAAGAAACAGAAATGAAGTTGGCCAATATTTCAAGGCTAGAAGCTCAAAATTTTAGGACTTCCAGAATCCCTGTAAAATGCTGGCTCACAGGCTAATAAAGGCAGTGTGAGGGTTGGAGCCCCATGGCCATCAAAAAGGTCAAACACCAACTTCTCCCCAGCCCCCTTCAGATCCCTCAGAACCAGAAGTCCTTAGGGTTTCCTCCTGTAAGGCCCTTTGCCTAACCTCCCCCAGGGTCTAACCGACCTGGAGAAACTCCCTCCCCTTCCCCGAGGACCCCCTCCCCCTCCCCCTCCCCAAGGGTCTAACCCATCCGGAGAACCTCCCTCCCTTCCTTGGGAACGCAGCCAGTGTTGATCTTACCTTTGTTCCCCCAGGACAGCTCGAGCACCAAAATATCTTTTCAGTTCTGTGTCTGGATTCAGGTGTCTAGAGAATTGAAAATTTCACGAACAGAAATGAAACTGAGTTCTTCTACACTGAGTCTGGGGATTCTGAAAGGTCACATAAAACCCAGCAGAGAGAACAGCTATTCTGGGAGGAAGACAACCGGCAGGCCTCCTTCAAAACCACGCTAACCCGAAGCAGAGGCGGCCGGTCCTGGGGCCAAATCAGAGCAGCCTCAGACCTGCGACTAGGTCAAGGTGTGCTCACGGACTCAGGAAAAGAGACGGCTTTTTAAACACTGGCAACAATCTCTTCAGTAGGGACAGGCTTTTCATAGGCATCTATGAGGACAAGACAGGAATAACTTGTCCCAGGATGACCTCTGACTTCAGCACCTTCCGAGAAAAAAACACTCCCAGAGATCTACAAAGCTAAGTGATGGGTCCTTGGAAACAGAGGGGTCTCCCTCGCCTTCTGTCCTTGCCCCTGTTGCCTCAATGCTTGGCGATAAACCTACATCACTTTTAGATCAAGACAGTAAGTTTCCTTCTTTTTGAAATATTACCTTCCCTTTGCAAAGAGTCTCTGTGTCAGCCGGGAGGGGGACGAGCTAACCTGTGCTCCACATATAGGACGTGCTTCTTTGAGCTCAGGGGAGGCGGGCCTGGGCGGCTTAAACCACCGCCATCCTCAATCCTCTCCAGGATGCGATCAATATCTTCCAGCCCATTTTCCTAAAAGCCCCAGAAGAACATCTAATCACCACACAGACTTTATTTTAAATGTAAGATCGACAATAAAATGGTTTTTACAAAGAAGAAGCATTATATTGGGTCTGCTTCCTGAACACTGCACTGCACACATATTTAGAAAAAAAAGGAGAGATGCTTCGTTAGAGGAAGCTCAGAATCGGCGAGATCATAGAACCAGAAGGACTCTTGAAATGACCAAGTCACAAGCCTACAGTGCTCATCTTTCGGATGTGCCCGCCAAGCTCTTCAGGTGGCACTTGGGCTGTAACTGCCAGCGACAGGCACAGAGGGCCACAGCCTCCTCAAGACACACAGAATCAGGTGATGAGGGCCGCAGGCGATAATGAAGACAGATTTTCTGACAACCGACTGGACCTGGAGGCTTACACCTCAACATCTGATTAGTCCATCAGCACTAGAGAAAGGTCGGGGCACAGGGGCAGTCCAGTGACAGAGGCTGCACCATCCAGAAAGCATCATTTCGGACGTCACCAGAAAACAGAAAGCACAGAGGGAGGTCTGACCCTCAAGGAACAAAGTGAACAAACACGAGTGAGATTTGGTAAGTGACCTTCCCTGACCTCTGAGTTAGACTCCTAACGGGAAGGAATCAAAATATCAAATGAAAATGAACTGCCCTGAGAAACAGCCAGATGCACATACCAGAATTTCTCCTGCAGTGTTTTTCTTATTTTTCTGTTTCTTTTTCTTCTTTCGGAGTTTGCCACTTATATTAGACTAACAAAAGAAGCACATTTTAGTCAATGAAAGAGACAAAATCTTACCCGCTGACAACTAAAGCAGCAAGCTACAGAGGGACACGGGAACACAGGCTTGGTCCCCTCCCTCCCACCCTGAACGTCCTGTGAGCTCACCCGCTTCAACAACACAGACCTCCCACTGGCCCACAACTCTGGTTCCCTCCCAGTTTCTCCTTCCTGACAGAATCGTGGCTTCCCAGGACCTCAAGAGGCTCACAGGGTGTGAAGCATCCACCCACCCGCCCTCTGCCTTCATCTTTCACTTTGTCAACCACTCTCCCTGCCACGCTCAGCCACCCTGGAGACTGGGACCCCGCACTGCACTCCCCCACACCCTTGCTTGGTGCCTCTGCCCGAATCGCTCTCGCCCCTTCACCTGGCCACCTCCTTCCCCGCAACGTGAAGCACTACACCACCCCAAGCTCAGGCAGGCGCCCCTCTCTACGCCACGAGTCAGGGTCCCTCCAGCTGCACTTGTCTGTCCTCATCTGTCGCTCTCTCGACCAGAGGCCCCAGGAAGGCAGACTTGTCCCCAGAACCCGGTAGGCTGACAAAAAGCACTTACTGAGTAAACAAGCAAAAGATCTCCTGAGGGACCCTCTCCCGCACTGCCGTCGTGCACACCAGCCACACCCCAACGCTAACCTGACCTACGTACTTCTTCAAGGCACGTCCACCCAGGGTCTTGACCACCTGACCAGAGCTCCAGACACACAGTCACAAAAAACACACCCCCTGGGGAGAGAGGAGCAGACCCTCCCAGAGTGTGGAGGCCACTCTTGTGCCAAGAAAACTTGACTCGGGGACGCTGTGTGGGGCCTCCTCGATGCCCACAACTCGTCTTGAGGGTGTCATGCAAATCTTATCAGGGGTCCCAAGGAAAAGTGGGGACGACTGGGACCCAGAAAACGACAGCAGAGGGTGTATGTGGCTGGCACCTCCTAGTCCCCACACCTGCTCTGGGGGTGCTGCCTTGCCAGCCACTTCTCCAGCTTTCTTGACATCTGCACCTCCACTCTGGGATCTCCTTCTGTTCCCTGTGAGCAGACACTCGGGTCTCTCCCCATTCAGCACTGGTCCCTCCTCAAGGTCCTCAATGTTTATCTGGAAGACAGATGGGAGAGAACAAGGGTGTTACGGGTGTCCTGGTCACAGATCCCATGGCGATACTGAACTGTGTTAGAGACAAGAGAGCAGGACAGGGCGGGGGTGGGGACGGGAGGCGGGGAGACACGTTCAGGATCACCCTGAGGTCACAGGAGGAAGAAACGTAAGTCTGTGTGCCTAGCAGAGCCGTACTGCTCACCTTCTGAACAGCTCTGGTTCACGGTTACTTTAGTCAATAAACTCCAGAGAATGCTGGGCACCGTGTGGCCCCACGGGGTCTCTGTCTTCAGAGGGGACATAATGAAGAACCCCCAAACGTTACAACTTACCTCCCTTATGGAACAGAACCCTAGCACAAAGATTCGTATATACATTTGTTCTGTCGATGCATTAATATTCTTTCCTCCTACTGGAGACACTAGGTAGCTCATCTACAGTAGCAGACAGGACAAGAACCTGGGGGAAGAAACAGTACCCAAGGACTGACCTACCTGGAAACTCTTCCCTGATAAAAGTAACACACGATAATAAAAATAACTCAGGACAGAACCTTACATAGTAGCGAAAAGGAAGGATCCACACATGCACACGCTCCCGCACACCCTAAACACACACCCTGGAGGCGAGACAGGGGCAGGGGTGGGTACAAGTTACAGGGGAAGTTCTGGCCCTTTAGCCAGTCAATGAACAAACAGATAAGAGAGGTTAGCAGGAATACTACCTATGCTTCATGAACCAGATGAGATGGGATGGACCCAATCTAGTACACTGAAATACACAAAATACACAAAAATAAAACTGTATGTTCAATTTAGAACCTCTGAAAAATATAAAGCTAAAAAATAAAAATAACATCTATTTTTTTATTTACTTATTAGTTTGTTTATTTATTGAGACAGAAAACACGAGCAGGGGAGGGGCAGAGAGAAAGGGAGAGAGAGAATCCCAAGCAGGTTCAGCATCGTCAGCAAGAGCCTGACGTTGGGGCTGGATCCCACGAATGGCAAGATCATGACCTGAGCCAAAATCAAGAGCTGGACACTCAACCAACTGAACCACCAGGCACCCCAAAGTAACATGTTTTAACCCCCACAACCCTGAGACAATTTCTTGTTAAACTTGAGGTCACACCGCAGCCGGTGAGTTTTTCAGTGATGGTTCTCTTTTGGCCTACCGTCTCAGCTGGGAAAGTGTCAAAGAAAAGAACACGGGAACAAATTTTTGTGTCCTTTGGTTTTGCTTTCTTTACCAATGGAGCCTACCAAGGACACAACCCAGAAGTACGTGACGCCAATCTGTCTGCAAATCCATATCTGACTCAAAAATGCTCGACTTCTAGCACAATAGTTTCTGTCCCCGCGTCGCCGATACTGTGGGGACTCCTACTGCAGGCACCTTCTTTTGAGTGGTGGCATTGTAAAGCCAGAGGCCCATGTGTGGTCTGGTTGGTTTGGATGTTGGAGCAAAGGAAGAAAACTAGAACGTGGCCTCCTGGGACATTTCCTCTAAACAAGTGGGGGATGCACTGGGGAATTGGCACCTACACTTTCTCCGGTATTCAACGGAATTCTACCCCTAATGCCTCTAGTGAAGCCGGGTGCTGGTTTACTTCAAGTCACGTCCGCTTCCTTAAAATTTTTTTGAGACAAAGAGGGTGCATGCACACGCGAGAGCAGGGCAGGGTCAGAGGGAGAGGGAGAATCTTCAGCAAGGTCTGTGTCCAACGCAGAGCCCGACTCAGGGCTAGACCTCATTACTGTGAGATCACGACCTGAGCCAAAATCAAGAGTTTGACGCTTAACCAACTGCGCCACCCACGTGCCCCAAGAATTTTTTTATTTTATTTTTAAGTAATATCTACACTCAGCGTGGGGCTCAAACTCACAACCCCAAGATCAAAAGTCACATGCTCCACTGACTGACCTAGCTAGGCGCCCCACTAAGATATTATTTTTTGAGCCCCTTCTGGAAACTTGAGGTGTTCGGAGAAATTCAAATGCATAAGCTCTATGCCAAGCTAAGCTTCACCTGAAATATTCTGGGTCTGTGCGCACATGTGCAAACCTCCAACGATATACATACTCAGTCTTGTTTCTTTACTGGAGAGAGTTGCTAACTGCGCATGATTCACTGCTATTTGTATCAGCAGGCACCAGCACTCAAGGACTCTCCACCCACCATCCTGAGATAAATCTCATTTGGTATCCAAAAGCTGGTACTTTCATCAGTTTCACGGTCTCAAATGGGTAACAATTTCAAGAGGTTCTTGTTCACTACACACATATTCTCTGCTATTCCACGGGGATAAGGCTTGATCGATACTTCAATAAACACCGGGTGGGAATTTCGTCTTTTTTGGGGGGAGGAGCACGGAACCGGAGTATAATTTATGTGGCTTGAAACGGACGCACAGTATGAGTTTTGGAAACTGCATAAGTATGTAACCCACACTCTTACCAAGATGTAAGATGCTCCCATTACCCCAGAAATATATGCCTCCTACCATCTCCAACTAACATTTCCTGATGACTCCGGCAAACATTGCTAAGATTTCTTCCACCAGAGATGGCCTGTGCCCGTCTTAGAACTTGGTGCAGAAAGAGCCAGAGTATGCCTTCTTTTGTGTCTAGCTCCATTCACACAGTGTAACGTGTTGACGCTTATCCTGCTGGTGCCCGTATTATTGGTCACCAGTACTCCTTTGTGTGGACGCGCTACGTTAGCTTACCCATCAGGCAGAGGAAGTCGCTTGAGGGTCTTCCCATCTGCGGCTGTTTGGATGAAAGCTACTGTGTGAGCGTTTTTGCAGAAGTCTCTTGGGTAAGTACGCAGAGGTAGAATCACTGGGTTGTAAGACACAAGATTTATGTTGAGGGGCGCCTGGGGGCTCAGTCGGTTGAGCATCCAACTTTGGCCCAGGTCATGATCTTGTGGTTTGTGAGATCGAGCCCCGCATAGGGCTCACTGCTGTCAGTGCAGAGCCCCCTTCAGATCCTCTGTTCCCCTCTCTCTCTGTCCCTCCCCTGCTTGCATGGTCTCTCTCTAAGAAAAATTACTTTAAAAGTACTGTTTCTGTGGGGCGCCTGGGTGGTTTAGTCGGTTGAGCGTCCGACTTCGGCTCAGGTCATGATCTCACAGTTCGTGGGTTTGAGCCCCGCGTCAGGTTCTGTGCTGACAGCTCAGAGCCTGGAGCCCGTTTCAGGTTCTGTATCTCCCTGTCTCTCTGCCCCTCCCCTGTTCATGCTCTGTCTCTGTCTCAAAAATAAATAAACATTAAAAAAAATTAAAAAAAAAAACAAAACACAAAGGATCAAAATCAACTCGATATCAAAGATGACACGTGTTGAACACCAACTCAAAGATCACTGAACAATTTCAAGTCCTTATTCCAGCCAAACAGCAGCAGCCTAATCACTGAAACTTATTTTGGAAGAAGTTTGGTTTTTTATTTAATTTTACAACTTAGATGCTTATTTCAATTACTTTCCAGGCATGACCATTATATTGAACATAAAAACAGAGACATATACACATACAGTTAACCCTGTAACAACACAGGTTTGAAATGTGCCGGTCCACTTATATGCAGAATTTTAAAAAAGAGAGAGAGATGATTTCTAATCTAAAGCCAAAACAACAACAACAACAACAACAACAACAACAGCAGCAACAAAATCAACAACAACAACAACAACAACAGCAGCAAAATCACCCAAGGGCTAGTTGTGAGGATAAATCCATGAACTAACAACGAAGAATGTCTCCTGCTCTGCTTCCCTCTCTCCAGGAGAGCACTTCTAAGTGCCCCGGAAAGGCTTCTAAGGAAACCACTTCAGGTCACATTCCTACCGTGGTTTTCAATTTCATTTAATACCTACATTTGCAGAGTGCCGTCTGCCCAGTATGGGCTAAAGGCTACACACGTTATTACTTCATTTATCACTCATGAAAATCCCATGAAGTGAGATCATCGCCAAGAAACAGGGAAACTGAAGCTTATGTTAGATATCTTGTCCACGTTCTCACAGCTATGAAGAGACGGGGCTGGGATCCAAACCTAGGTCCTTCTGACTCCAAAGCCTGTGCACACACATTCTGGCTGGAGACAGTACATGCTGGTCCGCTTAGAGGAAATGCTAATTCATGCAGTAAATTTTCTGCATAGCTGGGTGCCAGACACAGGGTGGTGGGGACGTGTTAGGGAGCAGCAAAGTCTCTGTTCCCACAAAGCTTCTACTTCATCAGAGAGCAAGGAAGGAAAGTAACACCAAACAGAAAGAACCGACAGAGAATCTGTACGGTATGTTCTACGATAGCTGCCAGGGAAAACTGAGAGACAACAGAAGAAGGGGAATGGGAATGCGCAGATACCTCCACTTTGAAAGCAGGCAGGAAGGGTAGGCAAGACTGAGAAGGCGTCCTCTGAGCAAATCCTGAGGAAGGAGAAGTGAGACACGGGACATCTGAATACACGGTGTTAAAGGCAGGGGAGACAGCAAAGGGGACAGGTCACTATGGCTACAGCAGAGCGAGCAAGATCGTAAGGAAACGAGGTGGCAGAGCTCATGGGGTGAACGAGACCGGCGTGGGATCATTGGCGGGTTGCGAAGAAAGGAGGGCTGAGGTCAGACGTATGCGTGACTGTAGCTGCTGCATTCAGACAGGTGGCAAAGGAACAAGAAGAGAAGCACTGGGCCGAAGGATGACGGTGACCCAGGCCAGAGGCAACAGTCCCCACCCAGGTGCTACCGGACTTCAGAATGGTCTCGCACACTGTTGAGAGAGAGAGAGATCAGGGATACCTTGAGGTTGCTGGCGTGGACAAGAGGAAAAGCGGAGATAGAGAAGGCTGGAGGAGGCAGAAAGAGCAGTCAACAGTCGGACACACTGGGTTTGAGATGTCTGTGAAAGGTCTAAGAGGTGACAGACGTGGAGTTGGAGGTATGAATCCCAAGACCAGGAAGGACATCTGAGCTGCTGACACCAGTGTCAGAAAGTGGAAGGGAACACACAAACAGCAGAGTCCTGAGCAGGTACAGACCTTGAGTCCCTCTGACATGATGTCATGGGAGGTCCACATCAGAATTCTTTTCCTCCATTCACACAGGTAAGCATCTGCCATTTTTTTCATTTCTCCCAAACACTCTGCCCCCCTGTCCATCTACCCTCCTTTCTTCTTCAGCAGGAACATTAACTTTGCTTCAGAGACAAAAACCATGACATGGTTAAGGGTACAAGTTTTAGGTCAGAAAGCCTGGGTTTACTCTCCAAGTGTCACTTAGCATGTCATTTGCACAGGGGGGACTACAAGATCTCCTTCCCAGACTATGAGAATCATATGATGTAGCAGCAGCACCTGCAATGTTCAATGTCCTCCAAAGAGCAGCTGTTGGTGTTAAGGGCTAAATCTTGGGGATATGGGGAAAGAGAAAGCAGAAGCACATAAAACGTCCGTGGAAATGGCTGCCTACAGCACACATTGATTTCAGCCCGTGGACAAGTGAGATGAGAAGGAAGACTTCAGTATTCTGAGAGAAGTCAGAAAAGTGGCAAATTTATGGACACGTGATGTGACGGAAATACAGGGCAGACACAACTGGCCGTGTTTCCAACTGTGGGAGCTGGGAGATGAGCACGTGAAGGTTAATACTACTTTTATTTTTGTACATGTTTGAAATTTTTTATGATAAAAATGCCAAAAAGGAAGAAAGAAATGAGAAGAAACAGGTAGCGGGGAAGGAGTTACTTTTCATCTCGGAATCGGGACAAGTGGAGGGAGACTGGAGAATATGAAGAAAGCGCTTCGTCCCAACTCCCCCAGAGACTACAGGGTGAGGCTGTCTCTCACCTTAAGAGGGAAGGTCAATAATCTAAACCAATCTCCCAGACTGGAAGCCCACACGCCCCGCCATCTTATGATGGGTGTCTAACTTGCCAACTTTCCATAAAGCAAGCAGCAATCACAAGACCAAGAAAGAGTCACTGGTTTCTCCATGATCTTCAGACCTACTGCTGTTTGTTCAACCACTCGGGCACACCGAGGAGAGGATACAAGGTGAGCAAAACGGACACGTTACCCGCCAGAGGTCAGAGAAGCAAGAATAAGGCGATGCGCGCACATGCCGAAGTACAGACTGAGGCCAGCTAAAGAAACCCCGGTGGGCGTTTACTCCTCAATTCACATCTACGGTGTCATTTCTGTGTCAGACACTTGCTGTGGGTGCAGAGATGAGCTAAACACCATCGCAGCTAATGCAGCGATGAGGAAAACACCAAGTCCTGGGTTGTGAGAAGTAAACAAGAATGTCAGCAATGGCCCTGCAACAGCTTAACGTAGGCAATGTTCGGTCCTGAAATAACAGCGCCCAGACCTGGAGAAGTGAGGCCCCGCCCACTGTGATGCGGACCCGCCCTTCTACGTAAAGACCACGCCCACCCTGCAGCCCAGACCCCCGACAGCCCCGCCCAACCCGCCGTGGCCCCGCCCACCCCATCGCCTGCTCCACCCACTGG